GTGTGTACTAGTGTTCTGCTAATCCTGCCTCACAGAAGATTAGTTATGTTGGCAACTCAACAGAATTGGAGAAACAGAAATCACACCTCACGGCTTGATCAGCCCTGTTTGTTCTTCTTCTTTCTCCTTTCGCCTCTCAGGCAGCTGCCAACACATTCTGTGGTCTCATTCCTTGTGTGTCAATAACCCTACGAGAGTCATTAAACAGTGTGTGTAATGGGCTATTCAATCTAGAAGTGCTCTGCAATGGAGAATGGTAGTGTCTGTACCCGATATCACTGGATAGCAATTGAGCATGGAGAAGCAAAAAACAACTTCCATTCCTCATCCAGGAGTACCTAACTGAAATGAAGCGACATGCACTGCTTGGAATCAACCATAATAGCACAGACTAGGGATCAAACGTGGAACATTCTTAACCTTTATGGTCCAGCAGAATCTTTATAGGTGTTGAAGGAAAGCAGTAAGAAATTAGGTACATAAATTGCAAGTAGTAAATATCCCACCAACTAATATTTCCAAACCATGCCTAGTGGGTTTTCATTAAATGAACAAGAATAACACCATTCCATTGAACTGGGTTTAATATATTCTAACAGTTGGAGGTTGTGCTGAATCCAGTCAAGCACAACATTTCTGATAGTTGTTTGGGAAGCGTAAGCAGCTGTCCAATTTTCTTTTATAAATTAGCAATACACGTCATAAATTGGCTTTCAAAAACTGATATGGAGGTAACAGCCTTGACAATTGGTCCACATAATTCTTTCAAGCTGGCCTCTGGAATTGTGTCAGAATTGAATTTCAAGGTGGCCTGAATCTATACGACTAAGAAAAATTGACAGGGCTTCTCACATTGAAAGGAAGTTTATGGGTCAAGCATCAAATGAACATACCACATACACATGTACACAATAAGAAAATGTTTATAGCAATTCTTCACAACTGGATGGGATACAACAAAAAGATTAATCCTTGGCTTAATTCTTCCCTTTTTTGTCAATACACAATCAGAACATAGAATCACAGAGCTGTACAGCATGGAAACAGACCCTTTGGTCCAATTCGTCCATGCCAACCAGATATCCTAAATTAATCTAGTCCCATTTGGCCCATATCCCTCTAAACCCTTCCTATTCATACATCCTATTCAGATGCCTTTAAATGTTATAATTCTACCAGTCTCCACCACTTCCTCTGATATCTCATTTCATACATGCACAACCCTCTACGTGAAATAACTGTCCCCCCAGGACCCTTTTAACTCTTTCCCCTCTCACCTTAAATCTATGCCCTCTAGTTCTGGACTCGCCCACCCCAGGGAAAAGACCTTGGCCATTCACCCTATCCATGCCCCTCATGATTTTATATACCCCTCAGCCTCCAATGCTCCAGGGAAAATAGCTCCAGTTTATTCAGTCTCTGCTTACAGCTCAAAGCCTCCAATCCTGGCAACATCCTTGTAAATCTTTTCTGAACCCTTCCAAGTTTCGCAACATCCTTCTTACAGCAGGGAGGCAAGAGTCGAATTCAGCATTCCAAAAGTGGCCGAACCAATGTCCCGTACAGCCGTAACATGACCTCCCAATTCCTATACTCAATGCACTGACCAATAAAGGCAAGGATGGCAAACGCCGTCTTCACTATCCTGTCTACCAGTGACTCCATTTTCAAGGAACCATGAACCTGCACTCCAAGGTCTCTTTGTTCAGCAACACTCCCCAGGACCTTCCCATTAAGTGTATAAGTCCTGCCCTGATTTGCCTTTCCAAAATGCAGCAACATCTTTGAACACCTTTGAGCATCCCTAAGCAAACGGCCTATGTGCACCGCCTTCTGTCTGAATGTGTACTATGTTGGTATCAAGACCTATTGCTCTGTTTCCGATTCAAGCTAATTTTAAAAAAAATCTGACATGGGTTCAAGGATTAAGACATGATCCACTCGTCACACAGTAACCAATTTCTGCCCTACTCTTCAACAGTGGTGTTTAGATGCCAGGTCTGGTCTAGCTCTAGATCAGTGGTAAGTAACCCTAAACATATTGATGGTGGAAGATTCAGTGATGGTGATGCCATTAACAATCACGGAGAGGTGGCTGAGTTCTCTTACTTGAGGTCGTAATAACCTGGAAGATACAGGAATGTAACACTCTAATTTTCAGATTATCCTGGTTTTTATTTAGGCTGATATATTTTACCCCATTTTTAAGAGACTGTTGATCGAACTGAATATTATGGAACTGTTCACAAGTAACCCTCTTCCTTCCATAGCATTTGATAGAGGGAAAGTCATCAATGAAGCAACTTAAGATGCTTGGGCTGAGGATACTTCCCGGAGAAACACTTACGGTGATGTTCTTCCCTGCTGCAAGCAAAACAAAAACTTGCACAAACCTACTGACCATTTTATTTACAATCTCTACTCACTGACTTCTATCCTTAAATGAGACCCTACTGTATGGGCCTTGACTGATCACTTAATTTGGTTATTAAACAACATACAATCAGAAGTCACTACATTAGAAAACGTTTACTTGCATCCTTGGGTGCCAAGTACGTATAGAATTCAAGGTGAAATTGACAGAGGCCACCAGTGAAGTAGACTAACACTCCTTAAACATATTTTTACATTCATACAAGACAAGGAAGTTTGAAGTCTATATTCATTCCACTCTCAATTCTTAGCAGGAAATTAGATAGCACCAGAAAGTCAAAGGTAAAGGAATGTTTCAACTGGAAGGTAGACATTTTTGATCAGATATAACTGTAATCCAGAAAATTCCGTGGAAACAGCAGATCTTTGAAGGCGTAATGGATTATTCATTATTTTATGAGAAGGTAAGAAAACATGTTTAATTTCAACTTGCAGTAAAGGAGACTTAACTAGTCTTACCCTGCCCTGCCCTGATCTGGTTGACTGCAACTGCAGGCAGCAAGGACACCTCCCAAGGATGGCGGAGAGTTCAATTTAAATATGCAAATGTTTTGAATATCCCTGAGCGTAACTGCTTCATCATTGGAACCTGCACTTTAGCTACCAAAGCAGGAAACTCTGGAATTTGCTCTCTAAACCTTTTTTCCTCTTTTCTTCTTAACATATTCCTTAAAACCTAATTGCTTGTTCAAGTCTGTCCATATGGGCTTAGTGCCAATTCTAATTAATACCAATGAAGCCCTTTGGACTGTTTTATCGGCTGGAATCTTACATGGGTCTGAGCGATGTGTGCTAAGGTGAGATTTGTGGCAGAATCAGACGAGATGCTCAGTGGGGCTGATCTCAATGTAAGGTGCATCTTGCTGCATCTTTTATGCTTTCACTGAATGGTGAGGCGAGTCTCTCACTAGGTAGCGGTTTGTTGCCAATTCAGGGGATTATGGTTTTATTTTAAATGCCTTTTTATTGCCACAACTCACCTCATTTATATTCAGTAAAGTATAAAGCTGAATGTGTCAAACAAGGTAAATGTCAAGAATTCAACACGGAATCAGATTAGGTACTTACTAACCTCCAAGAATCCTCGTGGCACATTTACAATTCACTGACACCACATTTCTGCACTTGAATGCTGCATCAATAACTATTATTGTGATGCTGCCACAGGCACACTCTGCACTTGGGGACATGCAACAAGTTCATGGACTACACAAGTCTCAAGCCTATTTGCTTGCTATCATAGCACTTGTTCACTCAGAGTCTACCTGGACGCTCACAGCATACCTGTCACTTATGCCTCATCTTGCCCTTTTGTGGTTTGCCCCCACAGCCAGATATAATAGGCTCATATTTTCTGGCTATTTAGTGCAGACATAAAGGCAGGAAAGCTTGACAAGATTGTCAGCAGTTCGCCAGAATCGGAGGAGCATGGGCTTGATTTTTAACTCCTGGCCTCAAGCTAGAATGACTTATCAAGCTCCCAAAGATGTCATCAGAGATCAATTTGCATATTTAAATTGAACTCCGCACCATCTTTGGGAGGTGTCCTTGCTGCCTGCAATTGCAGTCAATTAGATCAGGGCAGGGCAGGGTAAGACTGGTTAAGTCTCCTTTACTGCAAGTTGAAATTAAACATGTGTTTTCATAAAATAATGAATAATCAATTACACCTTCAAAGACCTGCTGTTTCAATGGAATTTTTCTGGATTACAGCTATATCTGATCAAAAATGTCTACCTTCCAGTTGAAACATTCCTTTACCTTTGACTTTCTGGGGCTATCTAATTTCCTGTTAAGAATTCTGAGAGTGGAATGAATATATTTAAGGAGTGTTAGTCTACTTAACTGTTGGCCTCTGTCAATTTCACCTTGAACTCTATATGTACTTGGCACCCAAGGATGCAAGTAAACGTTTTCTAATGCAGGGACTTCTGATTGTATGTTGTTTAATAACCAAATTAAGTGATCAGTAAAGGCCCATATAGTAGGGTCTCATTAAGGATAGAAATCAGTGAGTAGAGATTTTGTGCAAGTTTTTGTTTTGCTTGCAGCAGGAAAGAAAGGTATGAGAGATGAGGACCTCCCGCAGTTTTTAATATTCTGAGAATGAATAGCCCTGAAACCCTGTGCAGCAGAGCTAGCCACTCCTTTAAGTCAAAAGAGATAGCCTTTGTATGGGTGCTGGCACAGTAAGTCAATGGCAGCGTCTGATACTAGCTCAGAGGCTTGATA